ATAAAAAAGAATCGACCAACTGCTTTTTAAAAAGCTAAAAAGTTTAAACAAAATACAGTGATCACTGACCTCTCCCTACACCCAAAACCTATGGCTCCAAGTTGAACAGGCAGGTTTTCAAACCTTGTCTTCATTCGTCAAATTCTGGTTCCACGCAAAGATGCTGGAAGAGAGAATTCCACAGCTTTGGAGCCAATTGGGGAAATGCCCAAAGCCTGGAATCTGCCACCTTAGTCCAAGGTACGTTGAAGACTAGATCATGTCTGTTCTCATGAGCTATAACATCTCTTTGTTCCATGACAAGTTTGGGCACTGCTTCAAATATTCATGAAGGTCATGCAGAAGAGATATTGTTGTACTCTATAGTCCTAGAATGTGCACATTTGTGTTGTTTGTATAAAAGAAGCTCATGCTGTACTCCAGGCAATTTTTTGGCCCCAACTGTGTTGCTTTCCTACCACCATAATCAATCTTCTGCCTGTTGCCACTGTTGCTGCACTGAGGTGGCAATGACAGTTATGGCATATGATGGCTATCACCAAACTGCAGTATTAACTGTAGCAATGGTGGCAATTAGGCATGCATTAAGTACATTTAAAATGGATTTGCTGGTATGTTACACAATTTTTGAGGCCATGTTGTATGTCAGTTGCAATTTCCTCTCCTACTTTTGCCGTCAGATTGCCAAGTGATTACTACTCAACATACAACTATTTTCACTCTTTACTCATCTGTAGTTTTAGAGTGTGCATAGTTGTTGCATGGCTCCATCACAAGGATTCCTGAGCTGCTTTGGTAAAGTATCTTGAATTTTCTGCTTGAGAGCTTCAGTGCACTCCCCAGAACTACAACAGGACATTCCAAGGGCTTCATGAAACTTCAGATCCCAGAATTCCATGCATTAAAGCAATAGCAGTTACAGCGGTATCAAACTGATATAGCAAGATAATGTAGACAAGATCAGACCGGTATATATTTTGCTATGAAAATGCAATTCACCCTTCACTTCCCAATGTTATGCTGTGGGTTCTGACCTTTTATAGGCAAATACAATACATTCTAAATATCTTAGTGTGAACCACTGAGGTGGAGTGGGTAGAGTGACAGACTAGAACTGAGGACACCTGGGTTTAAATCCCTGCTTGACCATGGGGACTCGTAGAATCATCAAGTTGGAAGGGGCCTATAAGGCCATCAAGTCCAACCCCCTTTTTGTGTAACCACACTGGCCTTTTTTGCTGTCTCCCACTTTTTTTCTTGTTGGAGATGTTTATAGTTGTGCCTTTAGTATTTCCTTTTTTAGAAACTCCCACCCTTCTTGGACTCCCTTTCTTGTTAGGATCTTCTGCCCTGGGACTTTATTTATCTTTGTTCTGAGTTCATAAAAATTGGCTTTTTAAAAACTCCAGCATATATGTGTGGCTACCCTCTGCTTTGGTTTCCTTTGAAATCAAGATTCTAGTAGAACATGGTCACTCTTGCCCAGAGTTCCCCTCACTGCCACTGCCTCCACCAAGTTGTCCCTATTGGTTAGAATCAAGTCAAGGACAGCTAGTCCTCTAGTTTCTTTCTTCACTTTTTTCTAGGAAAAATTATTAGCCACACAAGCCAGGAATTTCTTGGAAGGGTTAATTTGCCTCCCAACTGATATCAGGATAATTGAAATCTCCCATCACTACTACATTGTGTCTCTTTGACATCCTTGCAATTTTTTAAAAAAATTTCATCTGCATCCTCTCTTTGATTGTGTGGTCAGTAGTAGACTCCAGTTACCCGTTTCCTTTTATTTATCACCCCAACTACATTGATCCAGATGCTCTCAATGGGACAGCCAATCTCATCCTCCTGTATTTCTGCACAGGAATGAGTATTTTTGACATATACTGCAACTCCACCTCCCCTTCTATCCTTTCTGTTCTTTTTGAACAATTTATATGCTTCAATTTGTATATGCTAGTCATGGGAATCATACCACCAAGTTTCAGTTATTCCTATCAAGTCATATTTCCCCTCCAGGACTAAGATTTCCAGTTCTTCTTGTTTGTTTCCCACACTCCTGTTATTGTTGTTTAGTTAAGTTGTGTCCGACTCTTTGTCACCCCATGGACTGGAGCACACCAGGCCCTCCTGTTTCCCACTACCTCCCGGAGGTGGGTCAAATTCATGTTGGTAGCTTCGATGACACTCTCCAAACATCCCGTCCTCTGTCGTCCCCTTCTCCTCTTGCCTTCACACTTTCTCAAGATCAGGGTCTTTTCCAGGGAGATTTCTAGTCTCATGAGATGGCCAAAGTATTGAAGCGTCAGCTTCAGGATCTGTCCTTGCAGTGAGCACTCAAGGTTGATTTCCTTCAGAATGGATAGGTTTGATTTCCTTACAGTCCAGGGGACTCTCAAGAGTCTCCTACAGCACCACAATTCAAAAGCATCAGTTCTTTGGCAGTCAGCCTTCTTTATGGTCCAGCTCTCACTTCCATACATTGCTACTGGAAAAACCATAGCTTTGAATATACGGACCTTTGTCAGCAAGGTGATGTCTCTGCTTTTAAAGATGCTGTCTAGGTTTGTCATCGCTTTCCTCCCAAGAAGCAGGAGTCTTTTAATTTCGTGCCTGCTGTCACCATCTGCAGTGATCATGGAGCCCAGGAAAGTAAAATCTGTCCCTGTCTCCATACCTTCCCCTTCTGTTTCCCAGGAGGTGATGGGACCAGTGGTCATGATCTTAGTTTTTTTGATGTTCAGCTTCAGATCATTTTTTGTGTTCTCTTCTTTCACCCTCATTAAGAGGTTATTTAATTCTTTCTCACTTTCTGCCATGAGAGTGGTATCATCTGCATATCTGAGGTTGTTGATATTTCTTCAGGCAATCTTAATTCCGGTTTGGGATTCCTCCAGTCCAGCCTTTCGCATGATGTATTCTGTTTATAAGTTAAATAAGCAGGAAGACAATATACAATCTTGTTGAACTCCTTTCCCAATTTTGAACCAATCATTTGTTCCATATCCAGTTCTAACTGTTGCTTCCTGTCCCACGTACAGGTTTCTAAGTAGAGAGATAAGGTGGTCAATCACTCCCATTTCTTTAAGAACTTGCCATAGTTTGTTGTGGTCCACACAGTCAAAGGCTTTTGCGTAGTCAATGAAGCAGAAGTAGATGTTTTTCTGGAACTCTCTGGCTTTCTCCATAATCCGGTATATGTTAGCAATTTGGTCTCTAGTTCCTCTGCCCCTTCAAAATCCAGCTTGTACTTCTGGGCATTCTCAGTCCACATACTGCTGAAGCCTACCTTGTAGGATTTTGAGCATAACCTTGCTAGTGTGTGAAATGAGTGCATTTCTCCTAGCATTCGTATATAGACACCAGAGATTGTGTGATTTGTGACCTGCTTTTCTTTGTACATTTTTATCAAAATGATTATTAATGTTAATGTTATTATTGATCCCCATTAGAACTTATTGATCCCCATCAGTCCATTCCTCTTATTGTGCATAAAGCTTCATCTCTCTTTACCTCTGTGATTGTGTCTCCCTCCCCCTTCCAGTTCAGTTTAACGCCCTCCTGATGAAGTTCTTCATGGCCAGCACATTCTTCCCAGTCCTTGTTGAGGTTCAAGCCATGTCTTGCTAGCAGTCCATCTTCCAGGAAGCTTAGCCTGTGGTCCCAGACACCAAATCCCTCATGCTGACACCACCTTCATAACCAGTCATTCACCTGGAGTATTTCCCTTTCCTTTTCTTTTCATCTTCTGAGTACCAGTAGGATGGATGAGAAAACTATTTGGGCCCAAAAGTCACTAAGTTTTCCTCCCAAACTTTCCAAGTCTGATGTGATATCTTCTAAGTTGCTCTTGGCAGTGTCGTTTGTTCCCACATGGATGAGAAGAAAGGGATACATATCTGTGGGTTTAATGAGTGATGGCAATCCTTCTATTATATCCCTAATCTGTGCTCTTGGGAGACACTGTACCTGGTGGGTCCATCAATCCTCCCTGCATCATGGGGTGATGCCCATGCTAAAACAGCTCCTTAAATATTTCACATACTTTGAGAACCCTGTTAGGGTAACTGTACACTGGATGCTATTTGGCAGCACATAACAACAAGACATCCCAGAGATTAGGAAATCCAGTAGTGATAAAAATAAATCTAATGCAAAGATAAATGTGTCAGCCTGGGAGATGAGAATGAGTAGAAAAGGTCTTCCAATTTCAGTAATTGAATGGTGGACCTTGAGGGCAGCTCGCAGAGTTAATAGAGTCTCCAATGCCACTTCTGGAAACAAACAATATTATCAGTTCTATTTACATGCCTCAGTGCAGATCGTTTGCAAGTGCACGTTCACACCTTCGTGAGAGGCAGATATTTGATTAGTTCTTGTAATCAGATAATCCATTTTCTGAATGGGCTTCCTAAAGCAGGCATAGTTCCATGTATGTATGATTTGGGACATTAGTTGCGTTTCCTATGTTCCAAATATGCTCCTATTCATCATGTACTCCAAGTCTTTGAGTTGACGTAAATAGTGTAAACGTGGGACAAAGCTTT